TATCTTGTGTGTGCATATGCAGCTACCAAGCGTTCCCAGATCTATATGGCATTCATGTTAATAAAGATGCATCTATAGTAAATTACATAACCTACAGCAGGTGCATTGGCATGGGATTTGTGGTCCTCTAAAGCAATTTACAATTGGGAGCTAGAGTTGGTGCTTGCCCGATTGTACTGTTCTTTGGCATTCCTGTATACAGTGATAGGAGGATAAATCGAAATAGAAGATTTAGATGCATGGGAAATTTGGACTGATGCTGTTTCATAATTTTTTTGTATTAATGATTTGTCAGATTTTCCTCAGGCATAGGCATGCCAAAGTTTTTCAAAGATGTCTTTCTCTGCATGGACAGAACACCATTATATGCAAGCTTAACGGTTCACAATTTGATGAGGGGAAAGGTTCTTCCTAATTCATTAATGTGCAAGCATGGTGCAAAAGAAAACTGTGAAGCACCATGTTGCATTTTAGAATGGCTAGAGAGTTCTGGAGTTTTTGTTTCCCTTGTAGGAGTTCAACAGTTGTGATTGACCTGTTAGCGTGATGTTTTGGTGAATTTCTCGCTTCCACTTTGTTGAAAGAAGGGATATATTTTTGCAGTGAACTTCAGTGAGATTAAGGGCCAAGGGACATAAAAAGTTTTTATTCCACACTTGATTCCATTTGCCAAGATACCTTTCATACTAGTTACATGATATTTTCACAGGTAGACCTTTAATTACATAGATGGAGAAATGTCTAGAATGAGTTGATAACAACACTTAGCCTCCGTTTGGAAAGTGTGTTGGCTTTTTGATTTTTAGTTTTTTTGGCTATTTTAGCCTGGGCTAAAAAGCTTGATTTGGGAAGAGCTTTTTGACTTTTTTAACTTTTTGATTTTTTTGTGGAGAGAAGGTGCAATGATTATGGTTGGATGTGATGTTTTGTTTGTTATGCCTAAAATAGCCTATTTATCTTTTGTGACTATTTTAGCCCCAACCTTTCCTTGCCAAACGGACCCTTAATTAGGTTTGCTTTCCTACCCACCTTAAAGTTTTTACATTGTGGACTTGTGGCAAGAAGTGGAGGGAAAGAGTAAAACTTCACTCCATTATTACATACTCAAGTCAATGCATAAGAGGAGTGCATACATATTACATCATTCTGAACAACATTCATTAACTCTTCACAAAAAAAAAGTCAAAAAAAAAATTAAAAAATAAAAAGTCATTACTAAATCAAGCTTTTTAACTCACGCTAAAAAAAAAAAAAAAAAAAAAAAAAAACTTCCTAAACCAACCTAACAGAACTTACTCTTTCAATGGAGGACTCAGTGGAGCGAACAAGCGAACAAAACTGGGTTGCTACTGGGCTGGCTAGGGCGTAGTTGAGGCCTTGTCAGGGACTTTAGAGGATTGAGAAAAGGGCTTTGATGAAGATTGGAGGATACAATGGTTCAGGTGAGGACGATGATGATGATTCAGGGATGCTGCTGATGAGCTTCTGAGAAGCAGCGGAGGGAATGACAAGTAGGTCTGTGAGTTCTTCTTGGAGGGTGAAGGGTAGATACGGAGAGAGAGGGAGGAATAGACGAGATTGAAGCACAACAGAGCCATGGTCGATCGATTCAGGAGATTGTGTGTGCCAGTGTGTGTGTGTGAGAGAGAGAGAGAGTGAGAGAGAGAGTGCAAGCGAGTAGTGTTCTTGGACCATTTTGGAAAAGGTTCATGTCTTTGTGTGGCGACCCGCCATTCTTTGATGAGCTTATGGCAGGTTGCAGCCACGGTATATTTTTGTCGGAATTTTATGCCCAGTGGAAAAAATTTAAAAAAAATTAAAAAAAAAAGAGTTAGATTAATCAAACAAATCTTTTTTGAAAAATGTGTGCATATCTTTTGTTTATATTTTAAAGTCCTTGTAACATTTTTTCTCTTTTTCGTTTTTCTTTGTCTCTTTCTTTTTTTAATTTCTGTCAATTGGGCAATCGGGCCACCAGCAACTACATCTTTTTTTCATTTTATTTTTTTTTTTCTAATATATAGTCAATTAGCAATCGACAAATTCACCATCAATTGAAGTTCACCAGCAACCACCAATTATCAATTCCTTTTTCATTCTCACTTAATGATTGAAATAACGATGAAATTTTTCGACAAAGAATATGAGTAGGATCTATATCAAATTCAGCTTAGTCTGAAAACCAAAAAATAATTGTCAGAGTTTACAATCATCTCTCTACATCTGTCTCTTTACTTCGGATCTTTAATTTTTCTACTTTTTCTTTGCTATACACTTCTCTTTTTTCTATTTATTGGATACAAATTTTTCAAATTTGAACAAGTGTTTTCGAGTTTTGTTTACAGGACTGGTTAAAAATTGTAAAATTTTACAGTTTTCAATTTTTTGGGTGCCTTGAAAAAATGAATTTTAGTTTAAAACTGTAAAATTTCTGTAATTCATAACATTCATTAGAATTGTAAAATTTTACAGTTTATAAACATGTTTTTCAGTTTTGATTAATAAAGATTAATGCTTAATAGATTTTTTCTTTAAATCTATAACAGTTTTATAGTTTTAATACTTACTTTTTAGTTTGATCAATATTTGAGATTTTTTGCTTTTAAACCCTTCTTAAATTTGAAAAATAACATTATATTTTGTTTCCATTGTTGTGTTGTCTGTTATATTTTTTTTCTTTTCAGTTTATCAAATATTTAACATATTTTACTGTATTTTTCGCTTTATTTTTCCATTTATTCTTTTTTGGCAACATCCTGGACATTCAGTGAGTTTTTCGACGATATTCTTAACATCCCAGCAACATTTCTGGCATTCCGGACAACTTCTAATGACATTCAGAATACTCCAGCCAATACTTCAATGATACTTGACGAACTTTCTAATTGATGTTGAATATTCCGGTAAATCTCCGGGACTGTCTGACGGAAGTCCCAACGGTGGTGCCATGTAGCAGCGTCTATAATTTTTTTTTTTTTTTT